AAAACTCTATATTTCCAAAGTTAGACTTAAATAGACCTTCCATCCAAGGAGGGAGAGGTAGGGAAGGAGGGACTCAAAGCAGTTCTACAGCTACAAATGTACCTATCTGAGATGAAAACCCTATCTACACCACTATTCTAAAACCACCAGTTGTGACCTACTAGCAGGCTGGGAAATCAATTTAATAGGTCATGACATGGTATTTTTGAAAAATAAAATAAAGGCTTGGTGTCTGTAGCTTAAGTGGCTAAGGTGCCAGCCACATACACCAAAGCTGGCCAGTTCTAATCCAGCCTGGGCCTGCCAAACAACAATGACAGCAAAAATAGCCGGGTGTTGTGGTGGGCACCTGTAGTCTCAGTTACTTGGGAGGCTAAGGCAAGAGAATCACTTAAGCCCAGGAGTTGGAGGTTGCTGTGAGCTGTGACACCATAGCACTCTACACACAACAACTTGAGGCTCTGTCTCAAAAAAAAAGAAAATAGAATAGAAAGCATCGGTGTGTTCTGTACATAAATAGGGTACTTCTTGCTTCATGAACCTAAGTATGTATTGGGTCACAGCGCTCAGTACAATCTTTACTGTGAAAGCTGGTCTGGAACAGCAGTTTCCATAGCCCTAGAATCAGAATTGCCTAATAAAATAGACTCCTTGGCTCAAGCCTCCTGAAATTCTCACTTAGCTGGGCTAGGGAGAAGACCAGAACTTCTTAGGAGAATCTCATCAGTCTAAGCTGGGACCTGAGGGTGTAGATTCTAGTTCTCAACCACTATGTATAAAACAAACACCAATTTTCTACATGAGCCAGCCCAAGGTAGGAAACACAAGATCGACAAGCTACTTCATTTTGGCAGAAGGCCATGATTAAAGGTGTTCCTTCTAAGTTACCTACCTGTCAACCTCCTCTTTGCTCATGGCAGCAAATGTGAAACACTCGGTCACTCCATTGATGGCAAGCAAGAGGACATAGATACAGTAAGAACGCAGCAAAACAGGACCTACGAGGAAACAACCCATTAGGACAACTCCAGAGCCCAAATGAGAAGCCTGAATCTGAGCACTCAGGGAACACCAGAACTGGGCCGTGAGACCTGCTAGTATAATCAATGGGCAGACTGCTTGCTAAAGCAAATGGTCTTAATTATCTGGAACGACTCCCAGCATTCCAGAGCATTGACTAAATAAGCAGCTAAGAACCAAAGGACAATTAATGACTAAATATAGGACAGGTCTCTTGCTGAATAACTAAAAGTATATCTGGCCAGCAAGCAAATCTGTTCTTTTTCTTTTTAGAATATTTACAAATCTGAAGTGAGAACCAGAGCCTATAATGGTATTCTCTTCCAAAACAAAGTAATACAATTCTAACAAACAAGATTTGGAAAAATCTGCTAACAGAAAACAGGAACCTTACAAATAGGACTGATGGCCCAGTGCAGTGGCTTACTCCTGGAATCCTAGCACTCTAGTAGGCCGAGGCAGGTGGATTCCCTGAGCTCAAGACCAGCCTGAGCCACAGCAAGACCTTGTCTCTAAAAATAGCCAGGCGTTGTGGCAGGTGCCTGTAATCCCAGATACTTGGGAGGCTGAGGCAAGAAGATTGCTTGAGCCTAAGAGTTTGAGGTTGCTGTGAGCTATGAGATCATAGCACTCTACCGAGGGTGAGAAAGTGAGACTCTGTCTCAAAAACAAAACAAAAAACCAAATGGGATTGATTACCCTCAGAGAGTCATTATCGGGCACCTAATAAAATAAGCATACACCTAACCTATGACCCAGCAATTGTACTCCTTAGGCATAGATCCAATAGAAACACATACACACACAACACTTACACAACAGCAGATGAAAAGATAAACAAACTCTAGGCTATCCATATAAACGAATATTTCTCAGTAAGAAAAAAGAGGGGAAAAAAACCAAACTACTGATTCATGCAAAACCATGGACAAATCTCAAAAACTATATTGAAGAAAAATGCCACATACAAAAGCGTACATCTTTCTTTCTTTCTTTCTTTTTTTTGAGACAGTGTCTTACTTTGTTGCCCTCAGTAGAGTGCTGGAGTGCTGTGACATCATAGCTCACAGCAACCTCAAACTTGTGGACTCAAAGTGATTCTCTTGCCTCAGCCTCCCAGGTATCTGGGACTACAGGTGCTCATGACAACGCCCAGCTATTTTTAAAGACAGGGTCTCGTTCTTGCTGGTTTAGAACTCTT